CGCTTTACCAGCACCTGCATAGCGGGCGAAACGTCGCATTTCAAAACACGCACGTCTTGCCTAAATGGGAAGTAGTCCCTTTGGTGGAGCCCCGTACATGAAGTTCGGATCAGACCATGTGCGACACTGGTATGTGAGTTGTTCAGCCTTGGTAGTTACTGCGTCTAATCTAATTACCGGCGTGCTGTCAGGCTTAGACAGTCAACTGCTGCACTAGAGTGCGGCCAACTCTGGGAAATCTGTTCTTACGGCAAATAAACGCATTTCTCTATATTAAGCTTGACGCGTTTGAATATATCACTAATCCTTAAGAGTCGCAGCCTGAAAGGTTTCCAATCAACGAGCTAGCTCGCTTCTCGGGGTTAAGATTCAGGCCTCAATAGCTGCTTTTTAATGTTACGTCGCCTATGTGATGTTCGATCCGCCCTTATTGTAGTCCGCACGTGTCGAGTGGGGACCAGATCGTGACCTTTTGCCGTTTAGTTCTTCAGACAACGTGTTCGGGCCCATCCTCCATCGTCTTGACGTTTCCCAACCAGCGGACCAAGGCGAGTGAGGGAAGATTATGGTCGATACTGTACACGCATGTCTCGCTATAAACTGATTCACGCACAGATCACCGCTGTTAGGCCTACTTCGCGCCGCAGCAGTGGATGTTGTCGTCTTCGGTGGTTGAACCCCCATAGATCTTAAATAATGCGATGGTGGTGCTCCGATGTGTTAGCTCCTTTGAATGGCTGCATCATACAGCGTCCCAGATGTAGGTAAAATGCGTAAGACATTCAAATCTAACTCCTCTAAGATGCTGGTTACCAGGGGTTTAGCTGTCAAAAATATCTGGCCGGTGACGGCGGTGTTTGGAAAAAACCTGATGTCAGGTTAATCGGGCGCACGTGGTCCACTGAACTTGGCACGGCAGTGCTCATGTCAGACCTAGGCGGTCTCACTGATGTCGTGCATTTAAGCTCTCTATGCGTAACTACCTAATGCCGCGCTCGATCCACTCCAATCTCCGACAGTGGATACCTAACACCAACGGTCCAATATCTAACCCCATTTCTTGATTTACTGTACTGAGCTCACTGTCGAGTTGACCTTTGCTTTGCCCCCCCCCCTCCGGTGCCCACCGACGTCGGAAAAAAGGCGAATAGCCAAGACTGTGCCCAGGTCACCTAATTCATCTTTCTCCAAGGATCCACGACATCCTCGCGATGCAGATGCAGCGAATGCACGTCGAGTGCGAGGTACTTCACTCGGAGGAAGGTTTTTAGATAACGGTGATCAGACACCGTTAGTTCTTGCTAGTTTTTGAATTATGCAACTTACTTCTCCAAATCGAATATGAAAACTGTTGTACAGAAGGACACTAAAGTAATTTAAAATGTGGTGATATCTCGGCGGAACCATATGTACTGCCAAAAGCTTCCGAAAATCCTGAAAGGGATATCGATCATGGAGACGAAGACGTCATTCCTCTGTCTGTTTGATAGCATAATTCCCAAAATATGTTTTAATCGTCCACCCGTTCAAGTTGGGAGATATTAATGGTAAAAATACCTCCTCTGGTTAGAAATACTGCGCGGACGTGACATCTAGCCAGAGGGATTTACGGTAAAAAGGAATCAAACTATACAACTGCTGACAAAACAGAAGCTTATGTCGCTAGTAAACATACTAGAGTTCAAGAATACGCTGCAGTGGAATACTTGGTCGGCGCACACACGTCTAACTCGGAACCCAACTCGGTTAAGCGTCACCATCTGACGACACGTACGATAAAGGCATGTGATGTTGGCAATTGTAAAGACCTTTGGAACAGCGGAAAAAGACATGCCACGGTATTTCTCGGATCTTATTTCCTTCTTTCCACAGAAAAGCACATAAATGACTGAGCCATTGTCATCAGGAGCGTTTTCATCTCCCCACACTTGCTCAATAACCTCTTCCAGTCAGGGCTCTAGGGTGTCGACTTATAGGTTCCAATAGAGATGCTGCCCTTGCTGAGCCCCGTGATGCGCTTACTTCTTGAATGAGAGGGTCGCATTTCACAACATTATTTGGAACGGGATAAAGCGTCGCCGCAGATGGGAGGGCGATGAGTCGGCCATGAAAGTAGAAGAGCGTCTGGAGTGCTCATGTTACTCTTCGATCTTAATTGAACTGTCGGTAATAAAATCGCCATTCACAGTGCAGATAGAGGATACCAGTGAACGAGACCTAGTACTAGCCTGGTGACCACTCCGACAGAGTTTTCGAGTGCCATCAAAGTTTGGCACATGCTCTTTGGAATCCGTCATCATTTTCCGGAACTTGCAGAAGAATTTATTGTGGTGATCCGGTTGAGCTCTATGGGTTGCAGTTGATCCAGTAGATAAGGGGCCGTCTGATGGTCCGAGATTGCTCTCAGTCGTCTTGCGGACCTTAACTACGATCACTAATCACAGCCTTCTCCCTCGACCAGGGTCGTAAAACAATACCGGACTTCCTTGTTTAAGAACCCGGCTTTGTTCGATTATCGTAGTTTTGCGACATCAAAATATCTTGTATGCGAAATTTTAGGACAGACGAGGTGAACGAGTGCACGGACTGGTACAATTTGGCACCATGTTACTACAAACCCAACTAGGAGATCTTCAACTGACTTGGATGTAATCAGTCTGATCGTAAAACCATCGTTTTACTTCCAGATCAATAGATGGTTGCAGAAATACTGGAAGCAAATGTTGGTGAGACTTAACCTATTCTTCTTGGCAAAGCTCAACACTCTTATACTGTTGTTGAGCTGAGAATCAAGCCGAAATCAACCAGTATGCGCATTATCCGAAGGGTTGCCTGACGCAGGCCGGCCATACCAATTCCCAGTCACAACTGCAGCTCACGAGGAATCCATCGCAGCTGAAAGCGGATTTATTTATTACCCTGGTCGGCAGTTGATGTTGGTTCGTAGATGCGAACGACAGGTGAGTCACTGAAGTGCCCTTTCAGTTGCAGATGTGCCGACCGGTCATTTACCGGTGCCCGCGAAGGCAGTGCATAGCCCCACCCGTTGCGTTAGGGTAAGTAACACGTGTCTAACGCGAACCCGTATGAAACATTGTGATCGAGAGTGAACTTAACCCATACATATCGGTTTTCCGTGCCCGAATAGAGTATTCGGACCTCAGACAGGTAATAAACATCCGCGTCGTGCTGAGTAGGACTGTACGCCATCACACTGTGGATGCCAGGTTGACGGACGTTCACGCACCTCATCATCCAATAAGAACACCGTAGCACACCCAAGCCAGGCATCTGCATGAAGTTTCTCGGGGCATTAGAATACAGGGCACCCCTACCTCCCGTCCAGACTGCTTACTCAAGGTCGCCTTATCTAGCGCTCTGGTCCAAGGACATAACCCAAAACAGTAAACATATATTAGCGATTCACGGTCGCCCACGCCACTATGCAGCCTCCAGGACCTGGGGCATTTTGGAAAGCGTTTGGCGTGCTGGACCTCAGTCCCTGCACCCTGGTACCTCGAGATTAGTGCTCGAGTGCTCGCTAGTAGAATCCGAGTCTGTTTATTTTGCAGCTGGTTACCTGCCATCAGTCAGGCCTGCGATGGCCAGGCTGACGGATAAATCCGTCTCCCCACTACTTAGGCGTCCATTCATATACTCCCTTGAAACAGCATTGGGCGTAAGAATTCAGATGGCAAAGGCTCGTAGACCTACGAAGATCAACTGCTCATAAATGCGCGCGAATACCCACGCCGTTCTTTCAAACGAAACTACGACAGGGGACGCAGTCTGTCCAAAAAATTCGCACCTGCCATATAGATTAATGCTGTCTAAAGAAGACGAGACAAAGTAAAGCGGCGCAGTCAATATATGAAAAAGCGTGGGACAAGTAAAAGGAAGACAGTACAAAAGCGATGACAAGCAAAGTTGTGAAATACAAAAATCAGCATTATGAGACTGAACATTTGAGTGTGTTGTGTTTCTTTCCGCGCGGTTCGAGTACGTCCTTGTTAATCTGTCGTACAGCATCATAAAAAATCTGAAAAAAAGAAATAAATACATGAGGGAGGATTAGCGGGATATACGAGCGTCATGCCGAGTTGCCTTTGAGAGGGAAGTACGCACGTTCTCACTATGCTAGTACAACTTATATCAAACAAACTCTGGTTGCATTCTAGTCGCCCAGGGCTCGTCCGGTCGTGACCTGGTGTTGCGATTGACCGGATTTTTCCAGAAAAGTTGGCAGGCACTGTCCACGCGCGTGCAGTAAGTTGACGCGCCTTATCCGGCGAGCTGGAGGCGTTGTCGCCCCAAGGTGATTTAATTCACCAGACGGGTGTCTACGGTTTCGGACAAAGTGCGTACGTGCACCCATGCATGGGTAAGCAAAAAGGGGCCCTGCAGGCGTGATACCCAAAATGAACTCGGGTGAGCACCGTGGAGGGGTAGCAGAAAGGCTCCTTTGCTCGCACAGGCGGAGTACCGTCAACCAATTAGATAACTAGCCTTCTACTGACCCGCAAATCAAACAGGCTAGCAAATGTCTAGCCCTGGACGCCTAAATGCAATCAGGGAAAGCCAGACTTAATAATCTTCCGTGTTTTTCAGTGGATATTAAAGGAACTCCTCGTCTTCTTGCCAGTAAACAACACCGAAAGGAACGCATACGCCTAAGCATGCTCAAGCATGGCAAACGATGCTGCAGGCGGGCAAAACACAAGACAAACTAACATACATGTGTTTGGGAAATTGCATGACAGTATAGCTAACATGCGGTTACGCAAACAGGACGGCAAAACACGGCAGATCACGAGGGAGACTTGCCTCGGAAACGTTAATTCTGGACTTAGCACTGGTTTCGATGAACGTGCAACCCCAGTGACGTGCAAGCCTTTGGCCCTCTTCTTTGCCCACTGCCCTTTCATCTTCCAAGTCACACTTATTTCCAACAAGAACAGTGGGCACATTGTCAGAGTCCTTGACTTTGGTTATGTGATCTTTCAAATCTATCAAATCGGAGAAACTCGCGGGGTTGGTTATTGAATATACCAGGATGAATGCCTGGCCGTTTTTCATGTAAAGATCCCGCATGGCTGTAAATTGCTCCTAACAAGTCATAGATAAAGATGGAAAATTACAGTCCCGGCAGTATCAAGAATTTCTAAAATGCATTGCTGTGAGTCGATTTCAACACTTTTCCTGTAGCTATCTTCGATTGTTGGGTCGTACTTATCAACAAAAATGCCTTGTACAAACTGAACCGTGAGGGCACTTTTACCGACACCTCCACTGCCGAGCACCACAAGCTTATACTCTCTCATGGACCGCCAACTCCCGACGGAACGACAGCGCAGAGAGACTGTATCCACAGGTAGCGGACTTCTTTACAGTGCCCGTCGCTGACACTGCCAACCAGTGCAGACTGTTGATTGGCAGACTGCATTTGCGCGGGTTATTTTAACATTTCATGCACGGACCAAATGTGGGCAGCGCGCGATCTAAACCCGTTTTGGGCGAGTGGATGTCCACTCTTGTTAGTACATCACGATCCCATATTCATCAGAGTTTTTGGACCTTCAAGCCAGGTTGTACTTTTTAATATCGTGTTAGATTTCATAACTTCACACTCGTAGGCAGTAAGCCAAGCTATGCACTAATATGCCTAGGCTGATCCTTCGATCGGATTCTTCTGCACAACGCTGAGACAACAGCAAATTGACTCTCCGAGTCCTTTTAGAGGTAACGTCGAAGCAGATCATCAAGAACCATTTGGATGATTAAATACATCCCTTCTTTAGCCGGACGCAGTGGACCTGAATTCAATTCGTTTCCTAATTAACAGAGAAAAGGATGAACGGAGAGATGAAGTTTACAAAAAGGGCTTCGACGGACGAATTCGAAAGTCAGACCCCACTACATCAGGCCGAGAGGCGGAACGCTTGGACACCAAACCACGCCTGGACCGCCAAGTAGCTAATAGATGCTTTAAAATATATGAACCAGTAAACTTCTGCAAGCCTCTCTCTTTTTCTTGTGGGCAATAGAACGTCGTGAAACCAAGGTCACCGATCATGGAGCATGTTGCGTTCTTTCCTCATCTGCTTCAGAAGTGAATACTAGAGGACCAACTTTGTTTGTGCATGCATACTGCAATGGATGTTTGATTTTTCTATTCGAGTTAGAAACTTTAAAAGAAAACTTGAACTTCTGACGGATAAAACCGAAGTGCACCTAAAGCAGGGCAAAATCCGGGTCCAAATGCTGATAAAATAAAAGTTCTTGGACCTGTTTCGCGATCGGAAAACGCACACCCTGAAGGAAACGACGCATTGTAGCAGCCTTTTTTCTGTCCCCTCGTTCGACTACATACGCTCCACGGCTGCGCGCGCTAACCCTCGATCTGTCTCGCTGCAATCTCGTCCACACCACACTCCTGGCCGATCATTTGCTTCTTCCTTCGCCAGCTCTGCAAGCCAATCAACGCGACCTATTTCGCTGGCTGATTTCAAGTGCACACATTAAATAAATTGATGGCAAAGGCATCCGTACACACACGGGCGGCCGCCCTTGCGGACGTGACTTTTATCCGACAGTACAGACGCAAAAACAACACAACAACTTTTTGGCGTTAGCGACACTCAGAAGGCTCTGCAACCGACGCTCTCCAGAACAGACGCTTATTTCTGTCACAAGCATACAGCCAACTTACGGCGACCTGTCCTGTGTTCAGAATAAACCTGTCCTCACAGCTTCCTGGCTTCTGTTACTAGTCGGAGAAAATTTAAGGTAGGTGGTTTAAGTTATGTATTTGTATATTGAAGGGTTACAGGCAGAGCCCTTGATGACCCTATTTATGTACAGTGATTTCGCAGATTCATACTCAAAAATAAAATTAAATTGCATGCATTTAAAATGTGATTGGATCACAGTTCAATCGTAATCATAAGGTAGTGCATGGGGTCTCTGTAAATTAGTGCGGAAGATTGTATATGACATATTTTACAAAACTGGCTGTGCATAGTCATGCTGTACAAGCCGATTTCTGTCGAAAACTAGGCGAGCAAGTTTTCTTTTAAACACACAAACTGTGTCAGCCGTCATCATCTCGCTTGGAAGCGAGTTCCACGGCCTGACAGCCGCTGGCTGAATGAAAATTTTCGTCGGTCTAAACGCGTGCGCTCATTCCCGACTTTCTATGCCTGGCCGCGTAGTTGGTTTGTACGGGCGAACTCAAAGAAGTCCTCTGCTCTTAATGAGCAACCCTGGCCGCGAACAATCCGGAACGTCCAGAGTAGACTGCAGTTTATTTGTCTATAAGAGAGAGGGAATAGGCCAAGCAAATTCAGCCTCTCCTGATAAGACAAATGCCTTAGACCGTCGACCATCTTTGTCGCTCTGCGTTGCACATGTTCGAGTAAGTTGATATCCCTCCTCATCCATGGTGAGGCTGCTGGCATTCCATACTCTAGATGAGGTCTTACAAAGACAGCAAAGAGTCTTTCGAAGAGTTCGGGAGGAAATATTTTAAATGCGCGTCTGATCCAGTGTAGAGTACTAGTTGCCTTCTGGACCATCTTTCTGCAGTGTTCTGATGGCGATAGATTTGTGGTCGTCCATACACCCAGATCTCTGTGTCTTTCCACAGTTTCTAACCTCGTCCCGTCACTATAGTACTGGTGTTTGGGAAAGGCATTGCGGCCGGTGTTCAGGTGAAAAACCACGCATTTGGACACGTTGAACTTCAAAAGCCATCTGTTCGACCAAGCACACAGTTTGTTGATGTTCGACTGCAACTTCTCTGCGTCATCATCGTATTTGACTTCACTCCATATTTTTATGTCATCCGCGAACATGAGAGCCTCGCAATTCACTTCGCTGATGCAGTCATTAACATAAATCAGGAAGAGTACTGGGCCTAAGACAGAACCCTGTGGGACACCACTTTCCACCTTTACCCATTCCGAGGTAGAATTACTAACGACGACTCTTTGTAGTCTGGAGGACAGAAAACTCCTGATCCACATAAACTTTCTCCCTTGAATCCCTACATCCCAGATCTTTTGTAAAAGAAGCCTGTGTGGGACACTGTCAAAGGCCTTCTTAAAGTCAAACAATATGACATCTACTGGAAAACCCTTATTGGTAGCTCGTGTCCATTCCTCGTGCGAGTAAAGAACACTCGTTAGGCAGGAGCGCCCTGGACGAAAGCCGTGCTGGGCATCGCACAATATTTTGTTTTGTTCCAGGTATTTCATCAAGTGTCTTTTGATAATGCGTTCCATTATTATACACGCGATGCAAGTAAGACTGACAGGACGATAATTTTCGCAGTCAAGTCTTGAGCCTCCTTTATGGATCGGAGTAATGAGTGCGCACTTCCATTCTTCCGGGAGCTCGCCGTCTTCAAATGACTGTTGAAATATTGCGGATAAGGGTGTGCACAGTTCATTAGCAAGTTCACGAAGTGCTAGGGCGGGAATTCTATCTGGGCCAGGCGATTTGGCAGGTTTCAGCCGGAGTAGCTCGGCCCTAACTATGGTAGATTAAAAGAGTGGTTCCTCGGTTAAGGAGGGTAGGGAGGGGATAGGATGGGGAAGGGTACTGGGAGGAGAGGTTGGTTGGCGAATGGATGGATGGGCAAATATAGCACTAGGTTCTCGGGTGAAGACGGACTGAAAGAAGTCGGAAAGGAAGGACGCTTTAACCTGGTCATCAATCTCCACTTTTCCATCTGCAGACCTGAGGGCAGGGATGAGCTCCTGAGTCCTTTTGGTACTTCGTATATAACCATATAGAATTTTCGGATGCTCCAACGAATTTCGGAGTATGTTTAGTTCAAACTTCTTTCGCAGCTTTGAGGCCTCACTTTTACAGACGTTTCGTTGTCGCTTATATTCCTGTAAGTGTCCTTCGTAGCCAGTTAGTCTGTAACGCCTCCACAGACGATTCCTTTTTCTGAAAGAGGCCTTCAAGTCCTGGTTTATCCATTTTGGGCGGTTTGTGATTGTCCTCCTTCTGAGAGGACAATTGGAATAAACAATCTCTTTCAGTAAGGAACTGAAAGTATTCCAGTTATCGTTTGCTCGACCATACAGTTCAGTCTCCCATGATATAGCTGCCGCTTCCCTCCTCATGAGAGGATAGTCCCCTTTCCAAATGTTTCTCTCCCACCTCTCGGGTTGGACGGGTTTGGAAAATAGTGAGTACTCGAAGTAGAGCGTGATGTGGTCGCTTGACCCTAATGGCTGCTGGTCCTGCAGGTCTAACACATTTTCCTCCTCTCGGGTAAAAATAAGATCAAGGCAGTTCGACTGCTGCCCTTCCCTGACCCGTGTTCCAAAGTTGATCTCACATTCTTGACGACCACACCCTCGATGATCACAACATCATGTGAAATAAGAAGACACAGAGAACAAAATCTTTAGATCAAAATTTAGATTCGTCCGGAGTGTAATTTAGAAGCTGGCAGACTTGCTGCAACACTATAGTCACTGCTAACGACTAATTTGTCGCAAGTCCACTGACAGTGCCCAAGGGGCGCTATAATATTCCTATTCTATTCTATTCTGTCATAATCTATGTCCACTTGTCCAACTTCGGTCGGTGGGAAATGACTGTGGCACTTCAGGCACGCACGCTTCGCAGGTGCTGATCTGAAGCATTGTCTATTACGTTGAAACAAAAGGGGACAATCAAGAAAAATGGACGAGACTGTTAATAATCGGTTAGTCCGGCATCTTGACACAGTACCTTTATCCGAGAGGGGGGATCGCCGTAAAACGACGTGGACTGCCATACAATTTTAAAAAAGGAGTAATTATTGGATAAGCGGAGCGAGCTTGAAGTGCACTGCATATGATATATACGGACGGACAGAGGAGTGAGACAGTGCTGCGAATTTGATATTTGTGTTTGTTGAGGAACTCGTAGTTTATGGCAGTAGACATAGCAGAAGAGGTAGTAGGCGGGCTGAAGAGACGGGAGGTAGGGAAGAGGGAAGCGGGTGAAAGGGAACCAGAAGGCTTGTCGGGGCCACTAGCTTTAAGCCGATTCAGGTTCAAGATCTCGTGAATCCCGAGAGAGATTCCTCGAAGGTGGGCGTCATAGGGGGTTCTAGTGGATGGTTGGGCCAATCCCATCTTAGATAGGCGTGAGAGCATGTAACGAATGCGGATACATAAACTGTCCGAGATTCTGTTGAAGGTTGGTATCATCCTCGACCCTACGATGAAGGGTTAGCTAGGTCATCCACCGAGAAGTCGGGCGATGGGGTCAGACACCAGTACAGCGGTGAAACATTCCAGGACCTACTTAACGGCGA